TAATCAATCATCGGGGATGACGCTAAAATTAAGAGGGTTTCTAAATGGGGTCATCCTAAAGGTTTATATGATCCGGATATTTTTCTCTAAAATGCCAGGGTGGGGGCCAAAACCCATACCAAAGGATCAAAATATTAAAACACACCCGGATATGCCTCATGTTGTTTTTTGTTTCTCATACCGATAAATCTAAAAAATGATCTAAAATTATGACTAGAATGGGGGTTATAATCGGCTCTTTATAAGTCCATCGAAAAGGGGGGAGTCGGGGGGATATTTTGGTTTCCAAGCAAAAGGAGCGGTTCCAGGTTATTTGAACTCGCCGATGTCTTCAAAGTAATTGCTTTTCATGGGGTTTGCCAATTATAATTGATTTGCATGGCTGCGTCTTTTTCTCTCAAATTCACTCATCGCCCCCCGTATCCCCAAATATTCTTTATGGCGATGGTTAAAATCATCTTTGCTATCCAAAACCAAATTTCATATTTTGCCATCGAAATATTTTTATTTCGAACCCATGCTTGCCATTAACTATCTTTATATAATTTATTGATTTGTCCCTGGTGTTCCAAAAAGGATAAATAATCCAAGCCCCGATAAAACATAACGGGGGCTCAATGATTCACTATTAGCAAAAATAAAGAATTTATGTCGCCCACATAATTTCAGCAACTGAATAAAAGATCAAACCCCTCTGAATAAATAGCCTCTGTCTCGGAAATGATTTCTTCCCGCTTCCGATCGATGCCGAACGCAGCTTTATAATTCAGGATTGGATCCAATCATTCCCAAAAAGCATTGGGCAGACACCCCCCCATTCGTAAAAACATATTCGCGGTCAAATTGGTAATTTCACCATTTTTGGCCCCGATGCTTGAAAGACATCCTTGCCTTTGAAATAAAAGTCAAAATGGGGTAGAGTGAAATGAGGATAATTATAGGGCGAGGGGGCCTTGACATGACCCAAACCAAAGGGATGGCATGATTTTTGAAAAAAATGCGTACTTTTAGCTCTTTTTTCGTAAAATGGCGAATCTTCACCCAAAATGAATCAAAATAAGAAGTTTTTTTTTTAATCAAACAATCGAGCCCATTTCAAAAAATCTGACGATATTTGGAAAGATTCCCTGGCAATTCAAAAGGTATAGGTTTTGGACTCGTTGATCCCAAGTTTAATTGGGAAAGTTTCCAACTCCAAACGATGCCATTTTTTAGAACATGGGTCAGGGTTTGGTATTCAAAGGGTGTTTTGGTCCAAAATGGACCTCGCCCTTTTGTCCCCCATCCAAACCAAATTCAATAAATTAATATTCTGGTCCGAGTTCTTGTTGTTGTTTTTATTTTAGGGTCAAAAAAGGTGTTGGATTGGGGAATCGAACCCCAGCCCCAAAGTCCCCATAAATGGTGTCTTTTAAATTTGGCTAAGATTTTGGGGGGGGGCTCTTTGATTTTTGTAGAAGGTTAAAAGGTTTTTTGAAACTTGCTAAAAATGAAAATTGAACCTTCGCACTGCTGAGCTCAAGGGGGATGTTGGACAACTTGACCATGAACTATCGACTTGTAAGGCATAGGGTCCGGGATAGGACTTGGACAAGGCTCAATGAAAACTGAGGGCTAGGTCGGAGGGGTCTTCATAAATTTTTAAAAGCAAGCCAAAAGGGAATAGACTTGTGACCCGTAGAAAAAATCCGAGTTGAGTTACCACTGGGCTATGGGTTTTGACCTGATCATTGGATCAGGGTTGAGATAAAAAGCACAAAAGCGAGACTCAATTTTGACCTCTAAATCTCATCACCTCTCGAAAAACCTCGCCCTAACCGTTTTTCAACCAACAGCAAAAGGCATCAAGCATATAACCCATAACAAAAATGATAGCAAGAGGTCGTGTGGTGCTAAAAAGCATATTTGCTTGCCATCAAGGGGAAACACCGAGGTAACAAAGGAAATCCGGGCCGAAGCGTTAGAGTAAAATTTGCGAAGCAATATGAAAAGCGTGCCGATGCGCCTAACGAGAAGCAATTGCTGGAGTCAAGCCTTGGAAATAGGACCTTTGAAGTGCTTTTGTTGAAAGGCTGTCGGCGATGCCATTCGTCTAGTTTACATTGTGAGCTTTTTTGAGGGTCAAATTTGTGTATATTTGAACAAAGCAAATCAACACAAATTAGCTTTTTAAACAACTTCCAATGAAATCAAAGGAGATTATAGAAGAGGGTGAGAATCAAAGGTAGCCACAATTGGAGTAAAAAAAAAGGAAAATGATTTATACACTGCTCCGTATTTACAACTTTCTAGACCACCCCTCTTTTTCAAACCCTATGGATGATAGGATTCTTTTTGTATGGTGTCATCAAAAACCCAAACCTCAATATTATGAGTACTGTATAGCGTTTCTTTCAGAAGACACCCTTCCTATTGTTATGATATCGTTTAGTTAACGGAGTTTTTCGCAAGGATTCTGAGGCACTCATCGTAATAGATTCCCGCTTCATGGAAGAAAGTGCGTGATTAATTCGAAGCCGACTTTGCTGCGTTAAGCGCATATATGATGAGGACACCGCGATGGCGGAATTCGCCTCTGCGGTAATCTTTTGGAGCTCTCCTTCTTCCTCAAGGCTCTGTAACCCTGCAAAAGCTTCTGTATCATTGGCGTTCACCTCTGAATACTTCAATTTAGACCGCGTCGACTGACTAGACGATGAGGAATGCTGTGATAACAAAAGCGGCGACGAAATGTCCCCAGTCTGTGGCGCGGTGGGATCCGCCCGTGAGGTGACCCTGAGAACTATGGGTGTTCCATTAGGGCTGTAACCAATGCTTTGGGCACAAAGAATCGCCCTCGCAGAAAAAACACGAAGGGTACCGAGAAGCATGGGGCTATGCAAGACATTCGGACGTACATCAGTTGCGTCATTTGTCTCTCGCTTCTGCTGTTGCGTCTTCGGGCGAGTTAGAGAACCGGGCCGATCCACTTCATACAAGGCCTCAGCCATCTTGGCAAGAGCACTGGGAAGCTGATGCCTGGCGAGCCGTCGAAACGAAGCATGAATAATCTTGCGAAGAGCAAACCGGAGGTGAAGGAGGGCGACACCATAATCCATATGATCCTTGAGATGAAGAGAGGCATCTATCTTAATGTGGGCCTCGTCGATTTTGCGGTCAAACCTTTTACCATTAAGGGGCTGGCATAATGAGGATGGCTGTTGTGGTGCTGAGATAGCATCATTCGCCTGTAAGATGGAGGTGTTGATACGCTCTCTTCTATCGTCGTCCGCAGTCTTTAGCATGTTTGCTGCATGACGATACTCTTCCTTGTTAAGAGTTCTCAAGACTTGCATATGCATTGCAACCTCAAAAGTTGTGGCCAGGCTAATATTCAACCTCTCTAATACTTGTCGGTGTGTGAGAGCAACATCATCATTTAGGTGCATGCTAAGGGCGTCTAAAGCAGTTAGCTCTTCCCCTTCAACGTCACTTACCGATTGATGTGGTTCTGTGGTGGGGGAAGCGAGCCCTTTGCTTTCCTCCTCTCCCTTTTGGACAACTTCAGTACCCCTTTGGCTGTCCATCTCATTTTCTAACGAAGACGGCGACGCCGGGAAGCTTAGAGAATGAGTCATGCGCAAAAAGTCGCCGTGACCAGTGGCATCTTGGTTAAGAGGTTGCAAGAGACTCAGCATCCCTTGTCGTTTAGGCGTTGGGGGATGACCAAAAACGTCTGGACGCATCCGCATGGCTGTATGCAGGAGAACTGACAGGGTCTGCTTCGACACATGGACGTCTTCGCGTGCTATGGCAGCAAGGAAAGGGATAAGAACCTCATTGGAAACAAAGCTAGAGGCCCTGTGAGTGAGTGCAGCCGCTGTATGGGGCACTAGTGCGTGTAGAAAGTCCTCTCGTCTCACCATGTCCTGCGCAAGATTCTCACAGAGCAGACGGAGAGGGGTGATGCTCTTGGACGCGGTGCCAAGAAGGGCGGTTGTAGCCATGAGCAGCGGTGGCAACGAAATGTCCTTGCGTTTCTCATAAACGAGAAGACTTGTCGCGATCGAACTTGCGACTGAGGTGGATGTAGTGGAAATATGGCTGGTAGACAGATAGCGTGCAAAGAAAGAAGGTGTGAGTATCTCTAACATAGTTGGACTAGCAACAAACCATTCTGGTCGTTGGAAACGCCAATGCTGGTGCAGTTGCTCAAAGTTCTTATGGCCGTCCTTCGTTTTAGCTGCTGCTGACATAACGGCAGGGTTAGACATCACAGCTTCGCAAGGGAAGCTGCTAATAAGGTGTTGAACAACGACGCGGGCAAGCGGAATCAAGGTATGCTCACTAGTGCTTAAAACAGTCTTGAACATGCTCTGCAGGGAGCTGGCGACTAAATGACGCAGCTCATCCGCAAAGGCCACACATCTGGTGCTCGGATTCTCGGATGATAAAGAGATGTTGGAAGCTTCATGACCTTTTTCACACATAGCTTGCACCGCCGCGAAGTGCGTGAGACTGTCAGTGTGACGCAAAAGTACGAAGCTGACGTTGGCAAAGTGCTGAAGAGCAGCCACAAAGGGATCCGTCTTCATCTGGTCATTAGTCGCCCATGGTGAATAGTCTCCACGTAGGAGCAGTGAAAAAGGAAGCCCCGCGCTGGGGTCAATGCCCTGAACGGTTTCTACACCAGATGCCGCACTGGACTGAACTTTCCACCGCTTAGCGGACTGAATCCGGTCATGGGCCTGTTGCCTCAAAAACAATTTTAACTCCTCGATGATGCTACCCTGGAGGTTAAAACGGCTGAGAACCACGATTTGTAGAGACAGAAGGTGCAGATAAAGGATAGTAGTTCGAATATACCCATATGTTAAGACCTCCTCCGAGTTGATTCGCTCCAAACCCGCACTAACTTCTTCTTTGATGCCAGATGCTTCGGCAAAGTAACGACGAAGTTGAGCACGCTGCTTCGGACGGAAAAAGGTACCCCGGACCGGCTCGGCACATCCATTGGTAGGTGATAAAAGGGAAATAACTCTGCAACGGGCAATCACTTCATTCAGTTGGTCTGTTTCCGGCTTGGCATTCTTATGATTGGGATGCAGTGCGGACTCCCCTTCTGATCGAATGCATGCAAGCCAAGGTTGGAGAAGACCTAGCAACGGTAATACATCCAGCGCTGTGTCTTCGAGGAGCGGTCGTAATACCACGTACTGACGCGATACATACGTACAAACGGTTTCTACTAGCATGCGAAACTCATTGCTTTCAGAGCTTATGCTACTGAAAACCTGTAGAAGGGCAAAAACAACGCTGAGCGGTAGATGTCTTTCCAAAAGCTTCGCCGTGGAAACGGCCATCTCGAGCACAGGGTCGACATACTTGGTGGATTGATCTGGTGATGCGGAGTCGGCTTCGGCGCTTGAAGGGTGAGCACAAATCACACCTGCTTCCGTGAAGAGCAAGGCCTCATAAACAGCGTTCATATCGGTCGACGGATATCGTGAGGTCGGTGATCTTTTTGATAGGATAGAGAATAGCCATTGCTCCTTTCTGCTATCACTGCAGGAACCAAGGGCAAACATGTCGGGTCTGCTGCCCGTGCTAGGCGATCGCTCCTTCCTCCCCCTCAGCCGACCATCTAGATGTCTACGCACTAACCTTGTCAACTCGTCTTGCCGCCTATGAAATACAGTCTCATTGGTGTCAAGCAGCTCCCTTTGCATTTTACTGCGTAATTGCTCCCAAAGTTGCTTGACACACAAAAGTATTTCCGTGCTATGAGACCCTTGGATAGTTGTCTTGGAAGTTGAACTCAGGTCTTCCGCTGACTCTTCCTCTATCGTCTCCAAATCCACCAGAACTCTAAAACTCATAAAGAGGTCCTCAACTCCAGGATTCTGACATATAGTAGCTAAGGAGCATGCATTGAATAATCCAAGCAAGTTTCTTACATATGCCGCCACTTGGTGCTGTGTTTGTGGAGAGCTAAAACGACCCTTTTTTCTTAACATGGAATTCGGAAAATCCAAACGAATGTTCCTTAACATAAGGATACCTTTTGCTTGCTGAATCACAATATCCACAACCTTTTCCACAGGTAGCGCCTCACTTCTCAAAACTTCCTCTACGCACAAATCATCCAAAAACTCCAAGGCATAGCTGTCTTTTGGAAGAAAGGAATCATAGTTAATAGTAGCGTCCGTTAAGATCGTTCCCTCCTCTTTGTTCCCACTTTCCTCTGTGGGAGATGCCTTACGCTGGGTAACGAGGGCTGTTGAACTTTCCCGAAAAACAAGTAGTAGATCATCAATATTCTCGTAGCAATACTGAGATAAAGGATTCCCAGACCCAGGGGCCGCTAAACCAACGCTGGAATGACTAGCTGAAGTGTAAGCAATATCCTTAAAAGCCTTCAAGGCCCATTCGAGCTCTGTAAGAGACGGTACCTGAAGAAAGATGTTGTTACTATCCACCGTCCCCGTATTCTTATGGTTCTTTAAGTGATGTTTCGGTGCATGAGCCACCGAGGCTAGCTCAAAGTGTATCGCTTTCCATACTTCATGAGCGACACCTGCAGTGGCGGGGTGCTTAGCCGCGTGACTCAACAACACATAAAGCGCTTTCAGGACCTCGGTGAAATTATCGTTACTCGAGTAGCGATCGGCAACACCAAAATACCTTTTTTGAATATAAAGTACATCCTGCGTCATTTCATGAAGAGAGCGAATAAGTGTGGAGCAAATAGGGTATTGACGGCAAAGATCGATTCTATTCTGGAAATCCGCTTCGAGGATGTTCTCTGGGCGAAAACAGTCAATCAAACGCTGTATTGCATGTACTAAATCCTGGGACGATCGGAAGACACGGCCAACAAAGAAAACAGTCCCTACACTGTCATCTGTATGCCACGCACACGACATATTTGCTACTATGCTCAGGCCTGACCACAGCAACATCCCAAACTCACTCTGGTTGAAACGCAATCGATACTTTATCGGCAGTTCGGTAAGTGCCAAAACACATTCACAAAAGATACGGCACAGAAGGTTGTAGGATATGGCAACGATACTCATCAAATCCTTCTGCATGACTCCTTGGCGAAGCAAGTGGTGTAAAATGCATTCCAGAATAACGTCAAATGCTGCTACAATTGAGTGCATGAGTCTACGAAACTCAAGTTTTTTATCCTCCACCTTGGCTGTGCCTTCCTTATTTCCCTTTAGTGTACTGTCGTAGTAAGAAGCCACGGCTTCTCTTGAACCACTCCTGGAAAACGCACCGGGGTTATCAATGCCTGCAAACGAATCACCGCTTGTGGTTTCAAAAGCAATCTCATCTTCTTCAGTAGCATCCGCTTCCTCCGATGTTATGGGACGTGCCCGCCGCAGGGGACGTGTTCCAGACTCGATGTATAGTACACTTTGTTTGATACCAAAAATAACGCTTCGAAGGTCGTCAGCAGAAGGTTCCCCTAGAAGTCCCGTAAGGTGCTCCCGTCTGCTGATACCCAAGAGTGTCGTGGATCGCCCCTTCGATAGGATATCAGAAAGGCTCGCAAGGGTCTTTGAAAGATAAGAAAAGCTCATTAATGAAACATGATCTCGCGGCGGCGATGGCACCGCTCGCAGCTGGTAGAAAATAGAAGATATAATAACGGTGCGTGTGGTCTCGCTCACACGTTGCCGAGCTACTTTTTCAACACTGACAGCCATTTCAGCGATACTGAGGATCCAGTACACCATATACCACCCCCCACTGGCTCTGATGCATCCCATATAGTCAAGTGCAATGACACACGCCTCATTCATGGTGGTGATGGTTCCGGTATTCAAAATAACAGTGGGTTGAAGTTGCGCGTGTGTAGCATTTAGCCTTAATGATTGACGTATGCTTTTGACCAAAAAACGCATCAATTTTACAAGAATCTGTGCATTAACGATGTGCTGATGGAGGGCAGCGGGACCGATTTGCTTTGTACTGGGAATCTGGGCAGCGGCAAGTACACCATACCAGCGCTGAGCCATCTCGTGTTGCTGCTCAAATGACACCAGAATGTTGTCGTCGATAGTATCGATGACCTTCACTATGGTATTATTCATTCCCGCCATTGTCAAATCTCGGTACCGCTGCACTCGCTTTTTGTCTGCAATATTCCCATGAGTGGTCACACTCATTACAGCAGAAGAGACATTAACATGATATGCACTAAAAGACGCACTATTCTCCAATTTGAAGCTGTACACATGCAATGCATCTAAAATTTGATTGAAGTGATCTCCACGAGACCAATGAAAGATATTGGATGGGTATAAGTCATTAGAATGGTGTAGAAAACGTAGGAAGAAACGTGTGCAGTCATCAGGCATTTTGGATTCCGTAGTGGGCTGGACATTCTCAGCTCCAACTGCAGACATACTATGAGACGCCCCCTGTAAGGGAGTCAAGAACGTCAAAAGATCCTTGAGAACTAACGAGACGTCTTCCCACATAGACCCAGGTAGTGATGAAGGTTGTGGAAGAAAAGGAGGGACAAAGTGTAAATCCCCAGATTGCATGATTCCATCTCCTCCTTTTGATAACCTCAAACAATAGATGCTCACACTCATGAGGATATCGATCCACGGCTGCAGCACCCCCATTGTGCTTGAGTGGATCCTTGCTCGGTCTTTCGAATATCTAATTTGATACTCTGTGAAGTGGGATAATATAGCTAGGAGCATAAGCGTCTGTTCACAAAGAAAAGTGTGCGCACTAGGTGTATCATAGTTTCTGGAATTATGTAAACTAATTAAAACCATAGTCATCGAAACTGGTAAAAGATGCTGACCAACAAATTGCGCGACAAACTCTTCGTGAATGCCGATAACGTCTATAATGGTATCGTACAATTTTTGAAAAAATATTGGGTAGCAACAAAGAAGCAAGAGACGATAATTTGAAGAAAATAATTCGATTAGCTGGATTATGGGTTTACTCCTATTAGTTTCAGGCAGGTTTGACGTCAGAGGAGTTACACTTTTAATGCAATTCCTGTGTAACGAATCCAGGATGGAGACACCATGCAAAATAGACACAGAGCACATTTGAGCACCAAAAACACTGAGTGGAATTTGGTATGGAGCTAGTGAACCACCCGCAGGTGCAGATGTACACATCTTCAAAATATCAATCGAGGTCTTTATAATGGGAGGAATTTTGTTCGGCTGCTGTAAAGAAAGCTTGCCGATCCTCACCATAACCTGATATATATTTTGAGTCAGCGTGTTTGATGTCATCGCCCGTTGTGGTGTGTACGGTGTCCCAGAGAAAAAGCCCAGGCGCAACTTCCACGTTACTTGAATCCCTTGCGCAAACGCAAAAGAGGAATTGCCCCAGAGAAGTTCGTGACTGCCTGTTAAAAGAAAAGAATAAAGTTCATTTCTTTGACGAATTACATCCATCTTAAAGCTGATACTACGACCAGCCGTCAGTGATTCGAGTTGCTTGATTTTTTGATACTGAGCCAGAAGGACTTTCATCAACGTGTTTGCCATCCGCAATGTGCTGTCAAATATTTTCAACGGAATCATCTTTTGAATATTGCAAATAATATTTAACACTCGATGATAATGTGATTTATTAATCGAAGAGATTGGTATCAATGCAAGTAAATGCGGAAAATCCTCAAGAGATATATCAGTCAAAGAGCTTGGATCGTGATGGACGATGGGCTCCTTCACACTTTTCTTATCCAAAAGGGATACTACATTGTCACCTCCTACAAGGCTCTGACCATCTTTAGTAGGGCTCGAATCCCACTTTACCGGTGTCGCTGCTAAATGTTTTTGTAATGATGGGGGTTTCCCATAAATAAGTTGCTGAAGGCGCCCCATAGAGTAAATCATATCAATCCATATTTCACTGAGATTTATGTTTTCATATTTAGCCATAGTTGAAAAGGCATCGAGAAGTGTCGGTACGGCGTCTTGTGAAAGGACAAGGACACGGAAAAGCGCACTCGATCCTTCTTCCATTCGACCCAGGGTGTTGTGATTGTGGCCGTCTCTCTCAGTTATTTCACCTCTTAGTCGTGAGGAGTTTCGAACAACAAAACGAGAAGGCCCCCCCTTGTTGACCCCCCGATTTGTGCAAAGGGGTGCAGACACTGTGGTCTCGCCCACCTCCCGCAGCACACCGCCATCCGATGGTCTACCCTTGTTGAAAATGGAGCGTTTTCTGCGTAAACGCTGGACCGGATCATTGTCCATATCCTCCGCAGGAGACTCGGATGAGTTATCGTCTCCAGTTTTTATCTCGGCGTTGGTGGAGGCAACTTGCCGTGTTGCTTCAAAGGCAGATGAGTCATAAAAAAGCATTTCATTTAAGAGTAATGAAAGCTTTTGAGCCACAACTGTCAACCGGCTAAGCTCATCCTCACGATTTTCACAAGGATTTGTCGAAATGAGCGACACGTTCTCTAATTCCAAACAACGCTCTACAACGTTTGAAATGCTAGTCATCAAAACAGGAACCAAGCGAAGCCATTCGATAAAAGCAGCAGCATCCTCAACGCGTGAAGTGTGCTGGTGTGTAAGCCAGGCCTCAGTGAGACTGGACAAGACCCTCATCTCATCGCTTTTAAGCTGTTCGTATCGACCTGTGCCTTTGTAACCACCACTTTCTTCATGAATATTAACTGAAGTATTGTTAATGCTCTGCTTCAGTACTCTTATCGTTTTAGTCGCATACGCTCCCTCTTCCGATGAAGACAAAACCCCTATGTTACCGCATTGGGAAGCAACCCTATCAGGGAGCATGTGAAGGTACAGCAACAACACATGATGCAAAGCTGTTCGTACGTTCGTCAACTCCCCTGGATCTGCTATATCCAACGACAGCTTAGAATTTGATGTCTTAACTTGAAGCACATAGCTTAACAATGCGCTAAATCCTTTGATCTTTTTGTATTTGATGGAATCAAGCCTTCCTTTCTTCGTAGGCTCAGAGGTGTGAAACTCGTAAATGTTGTTATCGCTGGTAACGACACGGAGTAGCTCACGACCAACCTCAACCCTCCACAGCTTCTCCTGTTCGGTGAACTCAGAATGACTGCTTAATTGTAAGGAAGCATGATGACGCTCTTCTAGTAGGATATATGCTAAATGAAGTTTAAATACCAGGATTGAAAGGATGTTAGACAAGCTTCCTTGCGTACTAGGCTTTGAAATAGTACGCTGGGCATTGTGGTTGTTAGCTTTGGACATACCCAAACGTTGATCTCCTCCAGACCTACATCCTGCAATATGCATTTTTTTTTTTGGTATGCGCATAGGGATCACCACTGCATCTAACGAGTCCACTAACTGCCGGACAAAAGTATTTCGCTGATGGACATTGGACTGAGACACACGACAAGCGCATGTGGAGATATGGCGTATTGACTCTTCAAGGATCAATATCTTACTGACTTTTAGGGCATCCACTGATAACGAAGATCTGGTTTCACTAGAGAGGACGGAAAATATTGAAGGTATATCATTGGTACAGAATGATGGAGATACCGATCGCGCGGTGCGTGACATCGCACAGTACCTCAACACAGAACACGTTATTTCACTCTTGAATGTAGCCGCAAACATAGACGCAAAAAGGTCAATATCATCTTTTAGTGAGGATTGAGGCTTCGGTTTAATATCTGAAGTATAGGCGCATGTTAAGTTAAAAATAAAATCATGTGTGTTCTCCGATGATAAATCCGAAACAATCGTTTTCCAATCACGAGAAATAGATTCCGTGGTTACCTTGTCGTCGGTATGCCCGGTAGCATGATTACAATCAAAATGACAGAGAGAGCTTGCCGCGCGTTCTAATACGAGAAAAAGTAAAGATTGGATGCAACCCATACTCTTCACAACCTTTGTTCCAATATCCCCCACTGTTTCATCCAACTTTTTTCTAAAAAGTAGTGAATCGATTTGAACTTGATCCTCATCTTTAGAAGAGCTTAAATTCAGCAATGTGGACAGACCATTTTTAGATAGCATCTCCCCAGATTGATTTAAATCTTTCCGAGAATCGTCATGAGAGGAAGCCCTGCTGATTTCCTTTTCGGTGTGGGTGAGTTCATTTTTTTTGGAAGGTGGTAAAGATAAACCAGGAAAAGGTAGATCTAATTTTGTTTTACTCTTCCGCAATCTTTCATCTACAATCTTTGTTGACTTTCTGTTTGAATTCGATGCTGAGGGTGACAAGCGTGAGGTACCCTTTGAGGAGCTTATGGGCGCTAAAGATAAAGTAGATGCTCTCATTCCATACGCACGTGCTGCATTGAAAGTAATCAGTAACCTTTTCGAGGCTGCAGGAAACCTATGACAAAGCTTGAAATGCATCTAGAGTTGTATGATAGAGTATTACTGTTAATATTGATAAAAAATATTTATACCAGATACGTCCCCGATTCGCTAGAGCTATCAAGTGTATGTTTTTTTATAAACGAAAGGGTTAAAGAGAAGGGGGGGGGGAGGGAAGAGGAGATGTGTGGGGGAAAGGTAATAATAAGAATAAAAAATCCAGTAATATATCAAATTGAATTGTGATATATAAGTGTAGTTATAGGTGAAAGTAAAAAATTATTCATATGCCTTTATATATGCCCTAAAACTTTTATAAATACTTATTTTCTCTTCAAAGTCACAATTTTAAGTAACTTTTTTTAATTTTATAACTAATTCAAAAGTTACATCGAGGAGTCCCTACGTAAACACATGCAAAGAAAACAAAACCATCAGTGAAAAGGCTGAAGTGTTAATAGTATTAGCTTATTATCTTAACCCTTATTGTATATAAAATACATAGACAAAGCTGGTGGTTGCTAGGGTAATGATTTGCGAAGTTATCCTCTTTTCCTCTATCTTTTAAATAAAAATAAATTGTGGAACGCTTCATCAAATGAATCGCCTTAATCAAGTAAAAAACAGCTTATTCGTCATTTATAAAATCGTAAAATCATTAATCCTTTTTTTTTTTAGATATAAGAAAAATGAATTGTAAAACATTTTTTCCGACCAATTACTAAATAATTTGTTTATGAACACAAGAAAAATTAATAATGACATACGCGTGTATAAATATCTCTCTCTCAGAAAATATTTAAAATCCCTTATTCTAGTGGACAAGCATAATACGTGTTTGGTTAGCATATCCCTTTACCTGATGATCAGCGTGAACCACAACAATATAATCACCTTCCTTTACATATGACATTTTTTTGCCGAACTCGATGCCCAGATCAACACGCTTTTCCTTGTCAACATCACTGAACTTCTCGGTATCAAATAAAACGCTCTGAACAGCTTTAGTAATATTGAGCTGACGACAAGTCCGTAGACGGCTTGTTACGCAAACAATCGGACAATCGGGACGATACTTGGCAATAAGGCGCGCAGTCTTGCCTGTGTTACTCAATACCAGCAGCATCTTTGCTTGAACCTCATACGCTGAGTTGACGGCGCTGGTGCACACAGCCTCCTCCACCTTCATCGGGATGCGCTGGAGTTCCTTAATGCTGCTGAAGGTAGCATAATGGTTAGTTGCACTTTGAGCCTCAAGGCAGATGCGGGCCATGTATTGCACAACTTCGTTAGGGTACTTACCTTTAGCCGTTTCGCCTGACAACATCACACAGTCTGCGCCATCAAAGACGGCGTTGGCCACATCGGAGACTTCTGCGCGAGTTGGCCGTGGATTGAACGTCATACTCTCGAGCATTTGTGTAGCACAGATCACTGGCTTTCCGGCCACATTACATTTAGAGATGATAGCCTTCTGAGATACAACGACCTTTTCTGCGGGGATTTCAACGCCCAAGTCGCCACGTGCAACCATGATACCATCGCTGTGCTTAATGATTGCGTCAATGTTCTGGAGACCCTGGTGATTTTCGATCTTGGATATGATCATGATTTCCTTACCCTTGGGACCCAATGCCTCACGCACTTCATCTACCTGAGTTGCAGTTCGGATAAAGGAAGCAAAAATCATGTCGACGCCCTGCTCCACACCGAAACACAAGTCACCCATATCTTTCTTAGATACGGCTGGTAAATCAATGTCGCAGCCAGGCAAATTCACACCACGGCGATCTGATATTGTATGTGTATTGGTCGCAATGCACTTCAAAGTATGCTCGTCTTCACGGGACTCGACCTTAAGAATCAGAATGCCATCGTCGATGTAAATAAAACTGCCCTGTTTCATCAGTTGAGGGAGGTGGAGATAGTCAATAAAGAATTTATCCTTGGTTCCTTTTTCAGCAAAAGCGGAGTCTGTCGTGACACGGCATGTCGTGCCCTGTTCAATCACCACCTGGCCCCCGACAAACAGACCAGTTCGAATTTCAGGGCCCTTCGTATCGAGCGCAATTCCAATATTGACGCCAAGCTCTGCTGCAGCCTTGCGAACGTTTTCAATAGTGGCCTGGTGGTATTCATGCGAGCCGTGAGAAAAGTTCATGCGAGCCACAGACATGCCGCTTTGAATGAGTCCTTTGAGTGCCTCTATGCTCTGGGTGCGGGGGCCGATGGTACAGACAATGCGATTGAAGCGGTTCTCGGCTGGAGAGCCGAAGACAGACAGCTTTAAGTTGTGTTCCATTTGAGACATATTATTAGAATATCTTTTTTCAAGGTGTTTGAGATCAGATATAATCAATTTTAGTAGTAGTAATAGAGGAAAAATAATCTAAAAATAATATGATATTGAAAGAAAGGATGATTAACATGAGAAAATAAATTTAAAGAATATAAGATCTACAGTGATGCTATTTTTGTATCGAGTGAATTATCCAAAGGCCTTAATTGCATTTATCGTTCCGATTCATACCATCAAAGAGATATATCTATATTAAGGCTATTGTGGTACGAAATATGGAATCAAATAAATAGTAACATTTTGTTCCGAAACTATTTACTTAAAACTCTCAAACACCCTAGCTGCAAGTTGTGCGCCAGATGTCAAGTTGCTCCTCCCATATACACATGTGCAATCGGGGGAAAAAGATTACACTATGTTATAGATTAACTACAACTTATCATGTGAAAAACACTACATCGGTCCTTAAAACCGTGGATTCTAAGGATGATGCGGGCTCAAAGAGTATATCAACAGATATTTCAATGCTTTTGTTGAGGTCATTATAACCCAACAAGTAAAGCTAAGTGATTTAATTTATTTCGTTACAAAAACCCATAGAAAATCGTCGCCATCATCACTTAAAGGAAAAGACTAAAGGTGTTACAACGTCGAGGATGGGATTACGACGCTAAAAAGGTGCAATCACAATCGATTCTCTCTTTAAAAACATTCTTGTATTATAAGCTCCAAATTTCCGCATAAACAATTATGACTGAGTCATTTTAGCGTCATACAAATAGGATTATTTGTAATTGTGTTACGATTACCTCTGGATCGCTTGAAGATTAAAACCTTGAAAAATAATAAAAAATACCAGAAAAAAAAAGAATGTTCAAATGAAAGCATAAAAGAGATTTCAAAATGATCGACAAGTGAAAACCGGGATTTCTAACGCTCAAAATATTCTGTTACAATGTGCACGCTAACCCAAGTAGTGAGACATAAAGTAAGTAAGTAAATAAAACGTTTTGTAATAACGTATAGAATTAAAAATTGATGTATATTATACTTTCGAAGATTAATTGTAGCGTTTTTTTATATAGAAAAGTGCGCTGATTCAAAGAAAAACTCGAATACAAATAAAGTAATTGATAATGCACAGCAACTCTTGTATGGGAAGTATCTAATAAATATTTTGTATTTTGTTTTTGATTATTTTGTGTTATCTTTGCTTTCTTTAATTAATATTATCCACCTAAAAATTCACAGTTTCCTTAATTGCATCATACAGCTTGAACTCGTTAGGAATATAAAGTCGCTCGTGAAGAGGAACTGGTGTGTCCAGGCCACAGACGCGTTTGGGTGGCGCTTCTAAAGATAGGAAGCAATCCTCCGCAATGCACGACACAAGCTCTGCGCCGTAACCAGATGTCTGCTGCGCCTCATGTGTTACAATAGCCCTTCGTGTTTTCTTAACAGACGCGGCAACCAAGTCACGATCCCACGGTATCAAACTGCGCAAGTCGATGAGCTCTACTGAAATGCCTTCCTCTTGGGCCATCTTCGCCGCATATGCCGCACGGTATACTTGTGAGCCGTAGGTAATGATTGTCAAGTCTTTTCCTTCCAAAAGAACACGTCCCTTACCAAGGGGGAGATCGTAGTAATCTGGATTAACGTCTTCAAATGCGCTGCGATACAGTATTTTGGATTCTAAAAACAAGCATGGATCATTATCTTTCCAACACTTGAGTAGTAAACCTTTCGCTTCCGTTGGTGTGCTGGGCATGACCACCTTCAAACCCGCGCAATGTGTAAAAAATGCTTCTACACTCTGTGAATGGTAGGCCCCACCATGGCCAACCGCTGAACATGGCGCACGAATTACTAGAGGACAATAATAACTTCCAGCTGATCGGAAGCGATATTTTGCTGCCTCATTAACAATTTGGTCAAAGGCAGGAAAGATGTAGTCGGCAAACTGCACTTCCGCAATTGGTCTCCACCCCATTGAAGCCATGCCAATTGTGAACCCTACAATACCCTGTTCACTGAGCGGAGAGTTAAACACCCTCTTTGGCCCGTACTTTTCGCGTAGACCCACCGAACAGCGAAACACTCCACCAAAGGCTACGTCTTCGCCCAGGAGTACTGTTTTACTGTCACTAAGAGCATGGTCTAGAGCTCCGTTGATAGCATGGTAATAGCTTGTTTTAACGCCATTAAGCGTTGCATATTGTTCATCCTTTGGGAGAGGGTTAAATTTATATTCACTGGGATTCATTTCGAGAAATCGCTTCGATAGTACATTTGCCCCATTGGAATAAACCACAGGAAGTGATAGCCTTCTCATTACGGTTTCAGTGCGTGAGTTAGAAAAAAAAAAGCAGTAAGACTAATAGAAGGTTGAGAAAGCCAACAATAACTAAAAGTCTATGGTAAATTCGAAAGTATATATAAAAAATACATAGGAGTTGGTATAAAGTCCTTGTTTCTTGACCTCACAACTAAAAAAGTAAAAAAAAATAAACAAAGAACGATGAAAATAAAAAAGAAAATTACATATTGATAATTTTAAAGAGGTCACCTTTTAAAATTTACATTACTTAAAGAGCACTAAATTTAATGAACCAGTAATAAAAATAAAACTGAAACGCGAACCTGCGCTATTTTACATAGCTTTATGGTGGCACATAAAGTGTATCAAAATAAAGACCAATATAATTGGCCCGGATATCCAATTCGATATGTTTACGTTAATTTCAGGAAGACCTGAAGTGTGTATGTTTAAAAAAATGCAACACTCATTCAACGATTGCGTAAAATGGTGCTTGGAAAAAAAAAATGAAAAAAAAGGCTACATAGTCTTAGATCTTAAAAAATACTTGGTGCGTGTAGAATAAACATACAACACAAAAACTGTTTAATTTTCGCATTATTATCATTGAATCTAATACTCCTTGCTCAGGATCATCCATTCTAAGAAATTGAAATCTCTTAGTTCCTGGCTTTGAAATTCTATTGATGCGACAAAGATGGCCTCATTATGTGTTAATAAAGTATGTACCTTGAGAATACAATTCTGCCATCTAATACTTACTGGGGTATTTGTCTGCTGTAACTAAATTCAGACAACTCATTTTTTTAGTAAGTAATTTCATATTCCGCGACACCTTATGAAATACATACGCTTCGCCCTGAAATTTAACTCTATTGGTTATAGTTGAAGTGGTGTTTCCAAAAGAGGTAAACAGCTCAAGAGAGCAAACCTACTTTATTTATTTATTTTGACATGCGAGGTAACTTTTACAGAGGAATTTGTAAAATATAGAGCACTGATTTTATTGATAATATTCTATTTCTATATGTGAATACATGGAGAATAAAAGTTCAGATGTGTTACTATTTTGGTCAACGAGAGATAAGTAAGTGGGTAACAACATGAAAACAATTTTCACGTGATTTAAACAAACTTAAACGAGAAAATGTTCGACTCGTTTTTTTGTGTTTTTAGTCATTGAGTTTTTTCAATAGGGTGAAACCGCTTCTGCTGCTTTTTTTAAATAGAACAAATAGATTGTTGCTACAAAAGGTAAAGAAAGCAAAGCACACATTGAATATTTGGTCAATGTATAAATTATACACTAATATTACACAAGTTTAATCCAAACTCTCCCGGTTTACAGAAAGTTAGATGAACTTCGAAGAACATAGGATGGCAGGTTAATCATATGCAGATGCTTGTAGTTTACATTGTGAGAAAAAAAACGAAAATAAAATGGGAATACAAAAGTCCAGTATTCACTTGATTATCCGTATTCCGATAAACACCTATAATGAGGCGGCACAGCTCTTTTGGAGGGCTTGTGTAGATAGAATGTGGTTGTGTAGTCCTTGTTCAAGCTGCCTCCAGCGTTCACTTTCCACTGCACCACTACTGGCGTTGCGCAAAATTTTATCATTTCGACATTTGCGATCTTCCTCTCTAATTTCCCTGGAACTCTGTAAGTGCTTCAGACGCTTTGAGTGCAATTTATCGTACATTTCCAACACACGCGTGGCGTGAAAAGCCTCCTTCACACTTCTCGCTGCTTCCTCTTTGCACTCCTTCAACTCACATAATAATTCCCGTTCTTTACTGCTCCTTTGGCGCTGCGCTTCGATAATTCGCTCCATATTTTGTATTTCCTCACGCATACGCTCGTGGGCTGCTGCTATTTTCTGCCGGTTAACTTCCTCTAGCTCTCTACCCCGTGCACGACTCTCGGCGAGCGATTCCTGGACGTTCATCCTGCTTTTCTCATTGCCGCTGTCCTCATAGCCGGTTGGTTCCCCCTCACCACCAACCCAAGCGGCGCACTTATGCCTCGCCAGTTCCTTCTTCCGCTCCTTGATGCGAACACGAAGAAGACGGATATCTTGGATCATTTGAGATTGCGCTAGTCGCCTTTGTTCCTCAGCCTCCTGTGCATCTTCTTGAATTTGATTGGTCTCTTTTTTAATTTCGATGTTTAATCGTCGTTTTTCTGAGTTGCATCTCGCCAAAGCCTCATTTTTACTCAAAGCAAGCTGGTTTCTAAAACTGCGAACATGCTCCTGTAGTCTGCACCTATCTTCCTGCTCCAGCCTTTGTTTCTCCCTTGCATCGACTGCGGCCTTCTCCTTCATGAAGCGAAAGCACTCCCTTTTCTCCGCCACCGCGTGTTCCCTCGCGCGTCGGACCTTCTCCTCCGACTCAAGTGCCTCCAGGTGCCGTGCCAGGACCTCAGACGCCTCTTGCCGGGCGATTCGCTGGTACTGTTGCACTGTCCAGGCTCTGCGGACCTCCGCGTCGCGCGAGGCCCCCCCCCCCCTCCCCCTCCTCCCCGCCCGTGCCCGCACGCCTCGCGTCGCAGCGTGGTGACCGTCGGGGCCACCCTCACGGGCGCGGCGGCCTTCGTGCGGGCGTAGAAGGCGGCCGTCTGGGCCACGGCGTCAGGGAGCCCGGACCCCCCTCCCTCCTCTGGCTGATGCGTGGAAGGATGGGAAGGCCGTCCGATGAAGCTGAAGAGCACCGGACGCGTTGGGGACTTCCGCACTCGCGGTAGAGCGGAGGTCACCATGGGAATGCGACTCCTAGCACACCGTGGAAATGACACTGGCTTAGAGGGTGACGCCACGACATCCGGGAGGTGTATCGAATGGGTAATATTTGTAGTGCTGAATTTCTCTGGTTGAAACTTCAACGGCTGGTGCGATCCGTCGCTGCGTGACTTTTCTTCATTTTGGACACTCATGGATTTTAAAGTCTCGGCATCCGCATACACACAGGATTTTGTCGCTTGCAAAGTTGATTGCGTTTTTTCCAGTTGTTCTGAACCCTGTGCATTATCGACTTTGTGTCCTCCATTTTCGTGATGATGCATCGCACCTTGTAGTGCGGTACTTGATTTGTCGATCCACATCAGGACATCCGCCTCAAGACTAGATTTACAAGGAATAAATGATCCAAGAACGTTTGTCTGGATAAAATGAATGTCATAATGCTGGAGCCATCTAGGAAATGAATATTTTTGTATCATATTCAGATCTAAAAGATAGTGGATATACTCCACAACACGTGTTGCAAATGTTGGCTGATTAATGAGAGCGCAAACTTTCTCGCCTCCAAGCTCGGCATACTTGAAAAATAGTATGTAAGTTATTAGATAGATTGGAAGTCTCCCTTTTTTGTTGCGCTTATAGGCATCACAGTAGCCTTTGAAGCCACCTTCGCATATCTTTTCAAAGCGACATACACCTAACACACAGTCCAACACAAAGCTAACCTCCTGGGAAGATAAATCATCATGTGCGCGAAGTATTTCTAATGTTTCCTCCTCTAGAGTCATAGTAGAGGAGTTACGATTAGCAAAATGCTCCTCCAGTACTCGAGCAATGAATCGAAACAATTCTTGATCTTTCATCGTAAGCTGTATTTTATAATGATTCAATCTAAAATGCGTTAATGGACTTAGAAATATACATATGGCTCCATAAAAAAAATTTTTTTTTTTGCATAAAAAAAATGGAGTGAGCACTTAAAGAGTTGTAAATCGACATATTTGCAGAATGGTAAAACTTGAGTCAAGTTTACTGTTTTTTCTAGAACATGTTTTCAATTAGACAGAAGTGAAGCGATGGTAAACATTATGTTTCCGATACGAATACGCCTACGCGTAGATATGAATATATTTATTGTTGCACAAAATGTTTAAGCATGAGGATAAAAAAGCTTAGAAAAGAGAACAGACGGAAACAAATAATCCACGCTTTAACACTATTCAAGCTTTTAATTTAATGGATTGATTTCCTTTTTGCAGTTCTGTTCAAGCCTTTCCCCTCCCTCTCCCCCCCCTCCCCTCCCCCCCCAGCGCATACATACGCATAAACTACTCAGCACCTGTCCAAGCTAATCTTTATCATCAATGTTATTTGTCATATATTTAACGTTTTCAAAATAATAATCAAACGATACAAGTATTCTGCAAAGATGCGGTATGCTTTCTTGGATGTTCCTCATTTTACTTGAAACAAGCATTACCGGTTGATAAAGCCCATTTGATCCCTTAAATTCAGGTAGAGGGAATTACTGTCCAAGAAGTATCGGCCATTTCCAGAATCCCTCAACGTCTTTGCAATGGTGCGGGCCGCCTCCAATCCACGAAGTTCAATAAAGGCTGGATTTTTCTTTAGTGCATTACCGATCAAACGGGCAGCCTCGGCCTCACCTTGTGCGAGCAAAACGGCAGCCTGTTTTTCCTGTTCGGCCTGCTCCACCTTGAACTTGGCGCGCTCCGCCATCTGCTGAGCGACCTGCTTTGCCTCCACAGCGTTGGTGTATTCCTTGCCAAAACTCATTTGTGTAATCGAAACATCAGTAATATCAATGTGAAAACGCTTAGCACGTTCAGCAAGCATCACACCAATACGATGGCTTACCTCTGGACGCTTAGCCAGCAAATCAGAGGCATTGAACTGCGCAATTACCGCACGAATAATTTCGTTGATTAACGATGGAAGCACTGTCTCGGCGTAGTTAACGCCGATTTTTCGATAGAGATGGTGCAAATTATCCGCATTAGGTCTGTACAGCACACGAACAGCCATGTTCACAGTCTGCAAGTCTCGGCTTCCACTAGAAGTTGGCACCTCCAGAGGTTTGTTTCGGATGTCAAATATAACAGGAGTTTCGATATAGGGTATCACCAAGTTAGCCCCCTCGTCATAAGTCCTATCGCAAAGTCCGGTAATGCAGTTGAATTTAACTGCACGAAATCCACCTTGCACAAAATACAGAGACAGATATAAACCATAGGCAGCGGCACCGGACAAGCCAATAATGGCAGAAAGTCCGACCAAATGGCCCAATCCTCCAGCTTTATTGAGTCGATTACGAACTTCTTTTGCTATACGATTAAAGTCAGGAACAGGAGGAGCTTTTGGTGGCATTTTTAATCTTACCACTGTAGAAGTTTTGTGTATGTTTTTTATATTGAAAAAAAGTTGATCTCTCTTCAAGGTCAAATCAAAGAAAAAAAAGAACAAGGGACGTAGAGATGAATTCTACAGGTGATGACATATATATATATATATATATTAGATTAATGGGATAATCATTTATCCATCTAGTTAGATTGTCGTAAAGAAAGAGGGCAAACGCAGTTTTGAAATGTAGAAACATTGTGTTGACATCTAAACACACAGAAGTATCAATAATATATGTGGATTCAATGATTAATATTGGGTTCTGAGCATACAATTCTGATGCAAAAAGATGGTATCCCCCCATTAAATCCTCCGTTCTTTCAGTACTCAGTGAGAAAAAAATCGATAGATAGATAACTATGCGGTTGAACATGTGAATGGTGTAAATCGTATGCACCCTTATTGGGTAAGCTTATCTCTAGTAACTTCAAAGAGGAATGGGATAGTCTGTAGCAAGCGATATACATGCCACGTTCTGATATAAGGGCATTGTAGGTCAAATCAAAAGATGATAAGTGCACACAAAAAAATAATAAAGCGGCCGGTACTGTAGTCTAAATTGCGAATAATATTTTGAGCTATAATGAACAATTATTGGTCTCACATATTCTAGTCCACAATACAGTAGCATGCAAAGAGTAGAAAACTCATATACTACGCATTTGAGTACTTCTAAAGAAATGAAAAAGAATAAGCTTCATAACCTTCAAGAGATAGGTCAAACATAAAAGGGAATAGTAATAACAATATGATTAAGTTTATTGTAATTTGAAGAAATATCTCGTAATCAGTTTTAGTATAATAGATTGAAATAGATGCATCATATAAAAATTCAGTGAAGTATTTGGAAGATGGAAGAGGAAAATAAGCAATTATAAACACTGCACATCGCCACGCTATATTTTAGTAAAATCTAACAATTTAGAACACCTCACACTTGTTTACCTTTTGGAATTCCTCTCACTAAATCATAGTTTTAATAAACACCAGTTTACCAATACTTCACCCGTACTAGTTTATATAGTTTCGCGGAGGTAGCGGTTGACCGTACTGATTGCTTTATAAGCCACATCGCTTCCAGTCTTTCGAGTGTGCAATTCCACCTCAGACGCGATACTTGTGGGGTCAGTTTCCAAAATGATTCCTCCATCAATCATCTCATCTACAGTCAATATAATTGCATTGTAATTTTCCAGAAGCAGTCGAGTGTAAAGTTGCGGTGCGTTAAGCACTTTTTTGAGGGCATCTACAAGCGTTTTTAGCACAGTATTCAGTACCAATTCATTTTCCTCTTTGTGGCCAATCACCATGAATGTCACGTCATCACCCTGATAATATAAGATGGTATGCTGATCTATGATCACAATGTTTCCATCACCCGAAATACTCAAATTGCATCTACTATCTTTAATCGATTGATAAGCAGCACATTCTAGCTGTTTCTGTTTCTCGATTGCATAAAGCTTCTTTGAGAACTCACACACATCTCCTTTTGTGTAATACTTTGCGAAAATGTGCTTACCTGTTCTGTCTAGTATGACTATTCCCTGAACGTAATGCAAGAAATCCATTTGAATTTGCTTTCAGAAAAATTTACCTCTAGTATTCAGTCTTAAAAGTGTTTAATAAAAATATGAACTTAAGTAGCGTAAAAATAAAAAAAATGCAAACATGAATTACACAATAATGCATAGAAATCATAAGAACGATACACATAAAAAAAAAAAAAGTCACTGAGAATCAAGATTCATCGTTTTTTAAAGAATAGATATCATGATTTTTCTAAAAGGAGCTTGAAGAAGACATATAAGTCGCATAACTTCCATGGAAAAAAAAAGATATAACAAGGGATTCATTTGGTTTGAGTTAGAAAAAAACTATAAGAAAAACTCTTCGTCGTTGTCAAAATCATCCACCTGATGTTTAGGGCAAATTAAAAAACCCAAAAGTGAAAACGTTGACACAACAACTAAGGCGTACGGTGAATATACAGTGACCTCTCTAACACCCCACAGTTGACCCACATCATGTTGAAAGACTTGTCTCATGCTTGTGTTTGCTGCATAACAATCAAAGCTGGCAACACACAACTGTACCACGGCTATGGAAGCCAGGAGTAACAACACCGTATTTAACATCAGAGCATTGAGCATGGTGGCTTTTTTTTCTAATGGAAACACAATAAACAAGAGAAGGTTACCACCTACCATCCAACATCCAACGAGAGCACACCACATCAGGTAGAAGGTCATAGCCGCATACAAAAGGATACCTATCATGGGGAATAATTGGTCTAGAAATGCAAACACATCGTTGAGATACGAATGAACGTATTTTAAGTCATAAAAGATGATATGCAGAAGCCACGCGATACTCAAAATACACGCGAAGCAGGAGATAGTCAACACTATGCACTGCTTCAGAATAGAAGCATTTCCAATATTAAAGCACTGTTCTGTGTAGCGGAACTCACGTTCCAGCTCATAAACACGCCGTTTGAAAGACAGTAAGCGCTGACGGTGCAGCCATCCGCGCCCTCTTGATTCATAATCTAGCCTTCGACCTATTTCTAACAAGTTCACTGACTCAAGACACATCTTAATGCGTTTGGCCTCGTACGCTTCGACAGTGATCCGGCGCGGACGCTTTGAAAAGGCCTGTAAACTATACAATGGAGCCCCTATCAAACCTACACCACCAAAAAGGGCCAAAAAGAACCAACCAATTGAAATATTGAGAGCAACAAAGAAAGAAAAGAATGAACTACGTGATGCGCCTACAGTTGAAGAACCACCCTTCCCATCTGTCTCATCGCTGGCCCCATTGGTGCTTGTTTTAGTACCCTCCGCTATCCAAAGGATACAAAATAGACCGGAAAGAAACGTAATAATTATCATTGTTCCTATAATAGCCATATTGAGCTGATGTGTCGATGAGACAGGATTGTTAGGATTCCAAGTTTCATAGTGAATCAAAGCAAATGGTATTATAACAAATGCTAGCAAGGCGGAGGCTATAAGAGCAACTTCATATGTCCACGATACGTCAATATCTGGATACTCCTTCAAGAAAGCAGCCTGAAATGGTAAAAGGAGCACATTATAGAATGATAAGGCAACGGATAGGACGATTACATATTTGCACAACGATGAATTATCCTTCTCCTCTTCTTCCGATAACACGCAGACAATGTAAAAGCTCAATAATAGTATCAAAAGCGCCACGATGACACTCACAGCGATAAGCCACCACAACATTCCTTTGATTGAACTTTTTATATGAGTATTGAGAAGACTATATATTTTTCCCAAACATTATTTTGAAAGCTATTCATCTACAAATATTAATAACAATGAAAAAAAATATCAGGACATTGAAAAAATAAGCCATTCCAAATATTTGTAACTGTATAAGAAAACACAAAAGCAACACGCATTTGGATTTTTTTTTATACGGGTATATGCGTATCCACACGCATTTAACTTGAGAAGTACATTCGATTGGCAACATCCTGCACGATCCAATCCATTCCCTCCAGTAGACCCTCACCTGTCTTGGCACTACATGAACATAAGCGAACATGTCTGCGACCTTTACAAATGCTCTCCACATCAAGTATACATTGGATCTTAGCTGGTGGTGTTGACGTTTCGATGTCTTGTTTGTTCAAAAAAATCAATAAACTCGCGCCTGCCAAGCGTTCCTCCAACAAAAGGTTATGGAGCTCCTGTTTGCATATCTTAAGCTTATCGGTATCATTGCTATCTACAACCCACACGAGTCCATCTGTGCTTTCAAAGTAATTACGCCAATAACTACGCAAGGATTGCTGGCCACCTACATCCCAGACGTTGAGAGTGTAACCCTTGAATGTAAAGGCCGTAATCTGGAAACCTAAGGTGGGGCTGATAGAGTTTGTATCCTTTCCACAAAATTTCTTGACACACGTAGTCTTTCCTGCATTGTCTAAACCAAGCATTAAGATACGCATCTCGCGTTCTTTCCGCTTAGTCTTTTTTATAATTGACAGCAGCCCCATCTATTTATCTTATCCTTTTTGACGCAACTAGGGTGATGCTCTCGAAAACATCTTAAAATGGAAAAATCAGATACAATAGAAAGTAAATAAAATATTCATTTCTTTTTTAATGGATAAAGATGGCTTATCTAAATAAATTAAGTGGCATGGTATATGGTTTTGTTTTTTATGTAATATCAGTATTACATAAAATAAACATGCAAATGACAAGAAATATATCATGCAATTGGATATTCCTTGTATCTTTTTATCATATTTTCTTTGTTAAACCACAAAGACATATGGAGGATACCCATTAGATGAATAAATGGCATTGAAAATATCATTGGCGTGTTCTAACAAGAAATATTGCAACCAAATAAAACTAAAACATTGGTTAAAGAATAAGGCCAAGGTTCATACTCACTACCAGTTCATAAAAAAATGACACAAAATGCGAGTGAAACAATGAACACTTTGACAAAATATATAGGCAAAACAAACAGATCCATTCAATATACAAGACATTTTGACGATTCACTTAATACAAGCTTTAGTATCGGCGCAAAAAACGACGGCCTCCGATATAGCCATTACCACTTCCCTGAACAGAAGAACCAATGGAACCACCAAAGAACCTAAAAGTACCATATGTAATAGCAAATGGTACAGAAGTCTTGAATGTCGTGAGAAGAACTCCATTAAGAAAAAAAGAAACGCCCTTCGTGCGCCACATTGTCAGAAAAACACCACCAGCCTCCCTAAAAATAGCCGCCTCCCCGGCAGCGTAATTACGAAGACATTGCACACCGCCCGCCCGCTCGCGCGATGCCAAAGAAGATCTGAAGGTATTTCGAACAGGATTCGACAAAAATGTCAAAAGGGAATGAATCCGAAAAGCATCCCACGTGCTTTCTAGCATCCCGTTCCTAGGCATTTGGCTCAGAACAGCCAAAGAAACTCCATGCCATAGCACCGCTATGAAGGATGTCGCGAGCCCGCCCATAAAGAAAGATAAAACCCCGTAGTGTCTGCTGCTTGAAATTACACAATTCAAAAAAGAGGAATAGGTGAGACGATCAAGACGATTATATCTGCTGCTGACACTCATACGACGCGCTATCGTGCTGACAAAAACTTTGGCGTATCCAGAAAAGATTCCACCTAGGATCGCTCCAGTGGATCCGCCGGATCCTAGAGCGTAACCAAAGTATAGAAGTCCCTGCGGAGCTGCAAGAAGCAAGGGCTGGGATGGATTCTTCATCATACCCCAGTAGCGATACATACAAAATCGTGATGGGTTCGGTACTGTCCTTCGAGCGGCATCAAAACCCTTGATGTAATCGCGGTAAGGATAAAGCCCAAACACAACAACTAAATTCGCAAGGTATGCGATCGCCCCAGTTAAAAAAGCGGGCATCAATGATGGAACTTACTCTTTTGTAACAGCTATTTTAAACGAAGCGTCCTTAAGGGACCAACAAGATGATAAAAAGACTAAATAAGAAGTTGAATAAATAACCTCCAATGGAGAAAAATTATAGATTTATGTATTGTTGACAAATTGAGCTTATCAAGAAACGGGAAGACTAAAGCAATCTACAGTTAGAAATTAAATTTGTGATTATAATATATATAGATATATTCTGATTTACACAACTCTATCTTTGTAAAGCATTGATGGTGAAAAGTCCGCAATATGTTTTGGCCCCACAACTCAGCTAATAGTCAGAATGCAGATAATAATGGGGAAAGAGGGGAAGGGAAATGCCCTTAAAACTTCTGGAATAGACTTCTCACAGTTTCATCATGAGGGACGGATTGTCTTAGCCCCAACCTTCCAGGTACTGTGAGCTGATCCGCATTATACAATTCCCATTGCTCAATTTCAACGAGCGTGAAAGCCTTGTCATCAGAAATAGCATCCTTTGCTGACTTAAGTATGATCCCGTGTTGCAAGAGCTGTTCACGTGATAACCAAAGGCCTCGCCGAGGCAACGACTGTAGATAAGGATTTGTGGATACAAAGCCTGTTATAGCATTCATCCCTTCTGGAATGGAAATGGAGGGCTTCGAAAACTCAGTGTCGTTCCGAAGGCTTGAATGCAACAAGTTTACTCCAAACGGCTTCACATTTTCCACAGTGGTAATCTCTGAGGTTAAACTAATGCAAATCGCATCGCTACCGTCTTTCACAGATAAAAATCCAGAACGGAGTCCTGGATGATCTCTACGAATCCAAAAAGGTGAGCTGAAGCTCAAGTCAGATGCTGCGGCTTGCAAATTATCAATCACCTCCTCTCTGTTAAAAAATAATCCAGTAAGGCCACAACGCGGTAAGTGGACAACAGATTTGCCTTTTTTACCTAAATTAGTAATAGAGCTACTATGGTAAAATTTACGAGGTTCAAAATCGTTGGGTGAAGTATCGGGGTCGATAAAGTATTGTGGGAGGGGCAAGGTATAAAGTGTGGCATTTTCACTTATGGCATTACCAACAGCGTGAAATGGATAAAATCCTTGCACAGTTGTCTGCTTGTTGAATTGATCAAAAATTGTTCTCTGGTATTGCTTCATTTGCTTTAAAAGAGCCAATGCATTATGTGTTTGAAAAGGCACACCATCGGCATTTGCATTGTTCAACTTGTATAATTTCTGTAATGGATTAAGTTCCTTTGCAGATACAGTTTTTTTCCGGTAAGACATCACTTCTCACAAATGTGTTTCAGAAAACAATCAAGATGAATTGGGAAAAAGATACGGATATAGAAACACATGTATGATTTTATTATAGCATTATTTCATAACTAGGAAGTGAACTTTAGGAATTGAAAATATAAAATATTAAAAGATAAATGACGATACGAATCAGTGCTTGTGGATTCTACAAATAATAATTTATGGATCAAAAATGTATTCTAATTTTAGTAAAGAAACAAAGACTAATGCTAAGAGAGTCTGAAATATTGCATTTGATCTTGCCTTGAACATAGCCATTTCGCTCTTACCTAGATGAATCAAGAACGACACAAATGCTTTTTGGTAACCTTCGGCGTATGTGTTCAGGTACTAATTCAGTTTATTCTCTATAATTAGGCGCCAGCGAAATGCAACTAGTGAACAAACAGATTTCAAACACTAAAAGCTATCCATTTCAGCATAAAGGATGATCTTTCCTCCATACCAAGCATCTTTTTAATTCGGGAGATTTTTGATCTGTAAGACTTTTTAAACCTCACAATAAGGTTTACAGAAACACAATTTTCTACCGTTCATGATGATCTGGCGTGTCTATCAAGTCACCCACCTCTCTCAGAAATATTTAGCATTTGATCATGCTATTCTAAAATGAAATCAAACTCCATGACGATCTTGCTTAACACACAAAAAAATAACTAATGCTTATGATGAGTCGTAGCTTTCCATTAATATATTTATCTACGTCTTTCAACAGGAGACAAGGAGGAAGGATATTATAAGATAGCATGATTTTTTTTCTTATGTTTAAGCATTTTCTGTTCACATAATTACAAATAAAGTAAAATTCTAAACATATATGTCTTAATTTCATTATCTAAATCTACTAGAGAAAAAATAGTCTAATAAAAAGACTGATAAGGTTAAAACATGGGATTTATGATATATAATGGGTATGAATACATATATACACGGTCCACCTTTTAAGCCTTGTAAGCATGGAGTAAAGTCAAAGGATTCTAAAGAACTAGATCATAGCTTTACTTTGAGTCCTTTGAAACAAATATTTTTTTTGGATGCCGCAAAGGCCCTTCGGACAAATTTAATTTCTCTATAAGTATAGTTTCCGATTTAGAAGATGCTTTCATAAACATAGAGACACTTTTTTTAAGTATAATATTTTCGTTACGCAGTAAGTGAAGTTCTTTTTCTTGTGTTGATGCAAGCTCTATGAGTCTCTCGAGCTCCGTAGACGTTTTGAGCATCGATTCTTTTCGAACTTTTACAAAGGCTTCGTGTAATTTGTTGTATTTTTCAACGATTGTGTCCTTTTCTTTAAGAAGATCGTCTCTCTCCCCTAAAAGTTGTTTAATAGAATCCGCATCGCTCCCACATCTTTCTTTCAACTCGTCAAATCTATTCTTCATTTTACCAACACTTTCCTTTAAGATATTAAAGGACTCGCTCGTTTCGAGGTGCTTCTTTCGCTCCTCTGCAAGATTTGATTCGTAATCCTGGCAACGTTGAATAAGTTCGTTTGTTTTGGTCTTTAACCTGATAATTTCGTTTTGTTTTTCATTTACAACTGAAGTTTTACTTGCCTCGGTAGCAAGAAGTTGATCATTTAAAGAATTTACCTTGGACAATAAAACTGTGTTCGAACTTAGTAAATCATTCCTCGTTTTTTCTTGAAATTCTAAACGAGATTTGGTTTCGTTTAAGATACCACCCACACGTTCAAGTTGCGTATTTGAACATCTCAACTGACCTTCGGTTAGATTCAGGGTTCGTGTCTGTGCAGCAAGTTCTTCTTTAAGAACATTCAATTCTTTACTTGTATGTGAAGTTTTCTCTTCAGCACGAGCGCGTTCTTCCCTTAGCTTTTTAAGGGATTCCTGAACAAGTTGATTTTCTATTTGAAGTCTTTCATTGTCTTCTCTCATCTCGTTCAGACTTGTATTAAGCAATTCGTCCAATTCCCCCAGCTCTCGGCGCATGGCTTCAACTTGATTTTTGAGCCAAGAATTATCTTCTTCTAACGCATTATTTTTTGTCTGTAAAACTTTCATTGCGGAATTTGAATTACTTAATTCTTGTTCAAGGCTAGTACAAGTTTTATGTTTCTCGTACAAAGAATTATCCGCTGCCGATAATTGCTCTTTTAATGTATAAATAGTATTAACTGCCTGTTTTTTCTCGGTACAAGCATGTAATAAATCAAACCTTGTTTTTTCGCTTTCTTTTTTCAGATCACGAAGTTCAGATAGGCTAACCCTTGCAAACTCGTCCTTCAACAATTGGAATTGAGCTTGAAAAGAAAGTTCAAGTCTGCAGCGTTGCTCCTGTTCTAAAATAAAAAACTCACGCACTTGGAAAGTATGAAGGGAAGCTATTAGCTCTTCTACAGAGCGGAGGGCAGCTTCAAATTTGTTTTCCGTTAAGATAATTAGCTGTGATGATTCTTTTTTAACAAGATCAACTTCGCTCTTTAATTCACTGATTGTGCCTTCGTTTCGGAGATTAGCTTTATTGGAGTCCATGAGTAGGCTTGAATAGCGATCCTTTATGGTCATAAGTTGAGTATCTAAATCTTTTCTAGATGACGTTGTACTAGTTAGTTCTTCCTCCAATCTCGCTGTTTTACTACGTAATTCCTCAATAATATTACAGCGGGCAATGCAAGCATCTTTTAACTCATCCATATCCTTTTCGTATCCGGATATTATTTCAAGTTGTTGCTGTGAAACAGCTTCTGAAGATTCAGCCCTCATGAGAATCTCATTTACTCTATTTGTTAGGTCCTCATTTAACAACTCAAGCGCAGCATTTTCTGAGTTAAGCTTCAAGAGGCAATTTTCGCGCTCATCCAATAAAGATTTGGCATTTCGGAGCTCAGTTTGAAGCGCTATGTAGCGTTGCTGTGTCATCTCATATTCTTTGAAAATTCGCTCACTGTTATTTTTCTGTTCAACATTATGATTCATTAGGCTTTGAGCTTGTAGTGTAAGTTGATTATTATTAACTTTGAGAAACCCATTCTCCTTCATTGCATCTGAGAATAATGTATGCAATTTTTGTTGATCTTGGGAAAGGGTCATCTTCGAATCACGTAAATTTTTTATCTCATTCTCCATATCTTCAGCCAATTTTTTATACTCTTTCACACGTTCAGTCAATTCAGTCCATTCACTTCGGGTTTTCATTAATTCATTGTGAAGAGATTTTTCCGATTGTTTAGCCTCGTTAAGCTGTTCTTGAAGTGTCACAATAGATAGAGAATGGGTAGAGGATAAATCTTCTAATGCTTGAGTCTTTTTCTCCATTTCCTTTTTGGCATCATCCTTTTCTTTTATCAACGAATCATAGTATGAAATATTCGACTTATGAGACTCCAACTTATTACGGAGATCACTTGCCTCTTTTTCCCATTGGCAAATAACTTCATGTGCTTCTGAACGTAAGTCTTCCATTTCCTTCACAAGCTCATCCTTTTCCTCTAAAGTTGCCAAAAGACGGTCATTGGAATTTTCTAGTTCTGCTTCAAGCTGTGTAATTCGTTCTTTTAAAACACTAAAAATAACATCATGCTTTTCTGTCATGGTTGCGATTAAAAATTTAATCTAGTCCTTCCAAAAAAAAAAAATTAGAAATAAATACAAAAAAAATATCTATATAAAAAATCAAATATTTAATCATTGAAAAAAAACATGTATAGGTAAATAAGTAAATGAGGAATAAATCAATAATACTGAATGATAATTAATTTACCACAGAAAAATAATATCAAGAGCTTTTAAATAATAAATGAAATTAAATTACCTGATTTTATATTTTCGTCAAAATATTTTGAGGCACCAGCACATTTGACAACAAGTTGCAAAGAGGTTCTGATAG